GTCCTCCTCCTTCGCCTGCCTCTCGCCGCATCCGTCCCCGCGCCCCTCCCGGCACCGCTACACCTACTTCATCGGCAATGCCACAAGGCGGCTGCCGAAGAGAAAACCGTGGCTGCTCTCGCCCCGGATGCGGGCACCGCGTCTTCCAGGGCTCATGGTTGGCAGGAGAAGCGGGATGGTGCCGGTACAGCCGGCAAGGGAAACAGCTCTCTCTGGAGGTGGGAGAGGGACTTTGCAGGGGAAGGCAGTGGGACCCGTCACGTCCGACCACAGTCCGGTAACGCAACCGCAGCAATATTTAGCACCATCGCAGATTTAGGTACGTCCCGGCAAAAAGCCTACCGTCAAACGCAGAACCCCCGCACCGTTACGACTAAGCATTAACGCTCTACCTGGCACCTCGACCTGCATTAAACGGCAAATAGAGACAAAAGCTGGTGGAGCCGGGGCGCGCCGCGCGCGCCAAGCCCTGCGCATCGGCTTCTCCCGATGGCGGGAAGGGTTTTCTCCACTGCCGAATCTCGGGGCGGGGGCCGTGAGTTTCTTAAACCCCCAGTGACGGCTCGAACTGTAACCCTTTAGTCACAGGTGGACGCCTGGTTTTAATTACGCTGACATACCGGGAGGTGACCGTCAACATCAAGCCCAAATACCCAAAGACGTATCCGTGCTACTAGTTACGCCAAGAAAAGTTCAAATGAGAATTTTAAAGCTTCCCACTGTTGAAATAATAATAATAAAATAATAGAGAGCGCTCGCTCGCTCTCTTCCCATTTCTTTCTCTGATAATTCAGGGACTTTGGTAGGTTATGGACGAGCACCCACCTTTATGAATTTGAGTTTAAGAACAGAGAAAACCCACAACGGTTCAAATCTGGTGTCTAAAACGTCACCAAACCCTTTACCAACGTAGGTAAGACCAGATGGGATGTCCGCAGCCCTCACTGGACCGACCTCGACCTCCTCGCGCTGGTAGACGGGTGGGTCGCACCCAACGCGTCCGCAGCGGGGACTCTCGCAACGAGACGCTGCGCGTTGCTGCCCACCCGGCTGCTGTCGTTCCTTCTAGAGCTGCCCAATTATTTTTAAAGGTCTGACTCGAGCTAACGAAGGTAGGAAACCCTGAGTGGGAAAGCAGGACCGACGCCGCAGGCTGAGCTCAACCCTGAGCCGCAGACGGAGCACGGGGACGAGGCGGACGCCGGGTCCACGCCGACCCCTCCGTGCTGCAGCGGTGGCTTTGGTGACCTGGACGGGCCCGTCACCAGCTCCTCCTTCCAAAAGCAAGGTGACGGCACTCGCCTACATGCAGAGCGGCCCTGAGCCCCGCTCACTGCTTCCGGCAACTTTTTAAACACCTACTGAGGAAGGGACTTGCCCTGGGGTGGGAAGACAACACGCAGAGAATTAAGACTACGCAGGAGCACTTCTAGCACGTACGGCATGTAAAGCAAGCCCGAAAGTGGGGCTCTCCAGAGCCCTCCGCGCCTGGTGTCGGTCTCCGAACACCCAGCGGGCTGCGAACACCGCGGCCGGCGCCCAGAGGGGCTCTACTTGCCTGCTGTAGGAACATCTGCATGGAGTCCTGGTTGATGACGGCTCCGGCGGCTGCCTGCCCCAGGATGATCTTCTCCGGGCTGGAGGCCAAGCTGGGGCTGGGCTGGGAAGTCACGGGCTGCTGGGCGGGCGGCGGAGGGGGCG